CCAGGCTGCAGTGACATCAGCTTTCCTCCAGTCTTCAGCCATTTTCCTAAAGGAAAGGTCAGAACAAATGTGAGAGCTCCCACAGCACACACACAGCCATATCCCATTACAGCTCAGGGATTTGCTGGCATTCATTTTGACTAAATAATCTTTGACCGGTTCCACCAGAATCCAGGGTTCCCAATGAGCAGTCTGTCTCAGCAGTGATCGCTGAAGCAAAAAAGGCATTCTGGGCACCTACCTCGTAAAGCAGAGGCCCACACATTCTCTGCTCTCCTTTTTCCTGTTGAAAAACTGACAAACTTCTGTTAGCTTTGACCTCCCTTCCTCATCCACCCCTGCAGGTCTCCAGCCATTCCCACACAGTTCCTCTCTTTTCAGAATGCACCACACCTGAGCATGGAGGAAACAACACTCCAGCATCAACGATTGCTCACAGGATCCCTTCCTCTGGTCAAACCCAAGGGATACCTCCAAGCAAGCCCCTTAACAGGACAAACTTGGCTCCCTCAAAGTCTACTGTTTCAAAACTATTCACTGTTTTGCACCTTCCACACAAGATCCTGAACACAGCCACACTCAAGTCCACCCCAGTGTTTATGGCCCTCAAACAGCCCTTGAACAATAGGGAGAGGGAGCTCCAGCAGCACCCCTCTCCTCAATGGCTCCATCAGATTATTTTATCTTCAACACATCACAGGAACCTCCCAGAATGAGCACAGCTGGCAGGGTGGCTCAAGTCTACCATGAGAACTAATGTCCACAAATGTGAGGCTAACTTCAGCTGTGTGCAGAAGGTGTCATCAACTTCCTCATCCTGGTCTGCAACAAACACCCCCCAATGATGTTCCCACACTTACCTGCCTCTGGAGCCTCACATGCAAGCGCTCCACTACTTCTTCATTCATCTCTAGGCAGAGCTCAATACATTCCCATTCTCTCACTGGAAGAGCAACTCCATCACCTTGCAGTTCCGTCTTACCTAAGAAGAGCAGAGCCATCTGCAACAGCATTCCAATTGTGCAAGCTGCCCCACCGGGTCTCCACATTGGAAACAAAATCACGCTCCTGAAATTACACGTGAAGGAGGAGAAAAGAGAAAACACACGGCCCCATCCTGCTCGCTCCCACCGCTGGGAACGGGAGGCTGGAGGCACCCGCAAAACCTTCCTCGGGGGCCGAGGGCACCCCGGAGTCGTGCTCGGTCTCAGGCAGTCGGGCGGCAGCCCCGTGCCGGCCCTTCTGAAAAACCACTCGGAGCCGCGCCGTGCCGATCCCAAAGACGCAGAGGAAGGCTGCTGCTCCTACACAAGCCCTTAAGAGAGAGGTCTCACCAAGTGACTCCCAGACACTCACCGCTTCGGGAGAGGCTCTGCCACAGTCCTTGCTCGGCCTGCAATAGAAGAAAACCTACGTTTCAGCAGCTCTTCGCGTTGCTTCTCACTCCCAGGAGCACCGAGGCTGCAGGAACACGGCACCATCTCTCACTCGCTCCTACCGAAGAGAACTTGAAGAATTGAAGCACCCGCTAAAAAACCCTGGGGCTGCGCCAGCCCCCTCCGAAAACGCGATGGGAACCAGGCAGCGACGATACATCGGCTGCAAACGTAACGGGGTCCGACAGCCCGGCTGCCCCCTGCTCCAACCCAAGAGACCCCAACTGCTCCCGAGCGCTCATCACCTCCGCGGTCCCCTTACTACCAGAACCGCTCACCGGTTTGGGCTCAGCCTTACCGCCAGAGGTCCCACAGCAACCTGAAACAAAACGGGCTCAGCCTTACCGCCAGAGGTCCCACAGCAACCTGAAACAAAACGACACGAGAACATTAAACGAGAATCTCAAGGCTCCGTTTTAAAAGCAGCGCCCCCCGCACCGCTTCTCAGCCCCAGCAGCATTAGCACCGGACAAAGGAACGGAGCCGAACGGAGCCCGCTCCATCTCCCACGGAGGTCCGCACGAGCTGCCCCGTGACTGCCGGCAGCCTCCGGCGGAGCTTAAGAGGCTTTTGGGCGGTCCCCGCCCGGGGCTCCCGACGAGGCGCAGCTGTGCGCGGCCCCGCGGCACCTGGGAGTCGTTGGCTGCCTCGTTAGCGCAGCCTGCCTCGTTAGGGCCGGCCCGCAGCCTTGACAGGCGTGCGGAATCTAGATCAAGATTAGGGACTTACATGACACTTTGAATTACAGTTACATGCTTCTCCTTTTCACCTCATTGTGGGAATCATTAGTAAGATAAATAATTGTGCCTCATTCAAACGGGTCACTTTGCATCTGACACAAACGGAGCAATGGAGCATCACCCCTCCAAAGAACGTCCCCAGCCTTAGGTTTCCCGAGGCCTCCGCTGCCTGCCATCTGCTCCTCTTTCCCTTGTCCCATGTCCAAAGAAAAGGAAAGGAAAAAAAAAAAGTTTGTTGAACCTGTAAAAGCTTTGTACCTCAGAGAAAATGTGACAAAAGATGGCAGTGGAAATGTGGGAGTAATGATGTGACAAATGACCAAACATACAGATGAGAAAATTGCCAGCCAGTGAAATTTAAAGTGGAGTTTTACAAACGCTTCTCTGTGGTGTTGCTCAGGACTGTGTGCATGTGTCTTATAAGTCACAAGCAGGACTTTTGGTGACATTTCAGTAATACCCAGTTAAGGACAGAGATAGTCTGCGAAGATTTCAGAGACGAAATTCACGTTATGTAGCAGTTTCAATCTTAAAACGCTCATTTTTATTTCTTCTGATGGTAGAACTGTGGAAGCTTTGATTGTACGCTGTTATGGGTATGTTCTCACAGCCATCAGCAGTGTCACGTGTGAAAAGAAGGGAGACCTGAACGTGCAGAGTGAGGTGAGAGATCCTGCTGAGGATGCACGATGTACGGTAACATCCTCCAGCACAAGAAGCAGGTTCAGTGCCAGGTCGTCACGTAGATGAGCAAACCCCTTACATTTATACAAATGTTACAAGGGAATCACTGTAGGAGACAAAGAGCATCACAGCGCAGAGCTTGCAACTATTCTTGTGAGCTGTCACCTCTTTTCCAATAGTGGCATACTTCGATCAATGCAACACGCCTCACCTCGCGTATCTAAACATCCCAACTGAACTTGGCATTACAATTAGTCGCATGCAAAGGATGAGCTGAAAAGAGACCCTCTGAATCCTCAGTCAGAACAAGAAGATACTCGGAGGAAACATGAGTGTTAAACACTCCTCAGAGCTGTCACCCGAAACTAAAATGAAACCACTTCTACATCTAACCTCTTCCATGAAACAGTCTGTAATCCGGCATTATAAACATTAGATGGTTTCACTGTGGATTACACATGATGCAAATAGAATGTTTTGATAGCACAGATAGTCCAGTGTTCCAAATAATTAAAACAAGTGATTTCTCACCACGCTTCTGCCTTGGCAAGATTAAGAAAAATGATGACAACGATCTTCCCGTGCAAACGCAGCTTTGGGAACAGCTTGTGAAAACATTTGCCTCCCAAAGCTATCTAGTTCATGTATTTGTAAACTCCAGTGACTGGTTACTAGCACGTACAACTGCTCGGCTTGTGGATGAGTTATTTACACACATCCCTTCCTTTCAGAACCTACTGCCTGTGAATGGGCACGTCTGCTTGAAGAAAAGAGGTCTCGGGCTATAGAATCTGACCAAGAATCCCACAGAAGTTGTGGAGGGTTCCTCTCAGACCGCTTTGTGCCTACAAACCACCGGGTGACTTAACGCTGTCAGAAGCTGTGGTACATAAAACAGAATGGGCTCCTCGGGCCTTTGTTACCTGCTTTTATGCTGAGCGATTTGTTGTTGCTCAGTTGCTTAACGTTAATTTTGCCTGGAATAATTGATTACATAGCGGTTGAACAGACACACGTTTGAAACTGTGAAGTGATACAGTCGTTCTTAGAAGATGGGAGCTGGGTCAGGCTGCCTTGGGGAATTTCACTGTCAGCAATTTTCAATGAACTTTAAGCATTCCTTAAACTTGACCTGAGCATTATTTAACCAAAGACCGCTCCCATTAGGAGCGCCGTGTATCATCCCAGAACATGGCTGACTGGAACAGGTGAATCTGACCTCTGCTGCTCTAAACTACCTACTGTAACTTGGATATTTGCAAAAAGGTGATATTCCTCACAATACTGCACCTGGGAAAACTTCTGCAATAATGACATGAAGTATATTTTCATATTGGACAACTGTGATACGGAATGAAAAAATGCATCTCTCCATTTGAAGCAGAGCACTCAAGGATCCACTTTCATTGTGTGCTTAATTGTACAGCCTGTTTAAGTAGCTAAACCTCAGTTTTTCTTGGGACACATTCAATAACCCACTTTATCCTTGCAACGACAGACTTGGCAAAATGGAGCCATACTTGGATTAAAGGCAAAAGATGCATAGACAGGAAGAGTGTGGCTATACCTAGGTTTGTATATTTGCGAGAACAAATACAAAATAGAGGTGATTTTTAGATGCCAGTCTGCTCGTTAACCGTCAAAAGCCAACTGAAAGTGCCGAGCTAATCTGGCCCTTGAGGTGGCTGACTCAAGTCTGTAAAGGAGAAAGCCAAGCACTGCTTTGCTTCTTGTTTGTGCTGATTGTTTTCCTCCATGGAATCTGGATGTGACAGATAAGCTGAAGATTACCTTTACAGGTGCTGTCTCACACTCTTAGCAAGAGATGGAGAGAGAGTTTTGTCTTTACCCAGGACACATCATTTTTCTGGTGTCAGTATGAGGTGTTAATATTTCAGGTTTTGAGGGTCGTGGGTTTATTTGCATGTGGCTTAGTGCTGGTATTTGCTCCAGAGTTTATCTCTGCAAGAGCGTAGTGCATTAAATCATTTTTTTGTACTTATGTTAAGCTGCTTACAGGCAGTTCCATGACTACAAACCCATGCCCCAGGAAAGGGGCAAAAGAGGAAAGAAGAGGGAGATAGGCCTAAAAATGAGACAGTGGCAACAAGATGAGGAGGAAAGTTAATTTACTAAATACAATATCACAATGCATGACAACATAATATAATGCAATAGTATTTGAATTGAGACCAATACATACAATGAGACTGTGTCCAAAAACCAAAGGCCTTACTCAAATGCTGAAGACAAGACAGCTAGAAAGCACATACGCTGCAGAGACAAACAGAAAGGGAAGAGAGGACATCTTGTGATCTGCGAACAGTGTTGTCTTTCCCTCTGAATGGAAAATGGAAACAGAACAGTCATCTAGGGTACGTAGTCCTCCTTCTCTTCAGGGACTGCTATACCCAGAAATAACGATGGTCCACAGAACTGGAGCATTAAAACTTAAACTCCCAGCGCATTACATGTCATGACACGGGATACCAATAACAGAAAACAAAAGCCATGACAACTCTGGACATTCATCATTAACAATGACATTATAAGAAATCTAAACCTTCATGCTTAAATGCACAAGTGCTCGATATGCCATCACAAGGACTTTAGAAATACACTTAAGGTGAAATTACTGAAACAAGATGAAATTCTTTTAACATGTTATTTTTTATTCCACAAACTCAGGACTTTCTTTTGCCTGGTCATTCAGTGTGATCAATTCCCAAACAAGAGATTTTAGCTATTTAACTCTGTATCTGGATTCAACCACTCAGGTATTTACTAAGAGGTAGGGAAAAATAACCAGATTGACACTGACACAGCATAGCATTGCATTAAATTCTGTAGATCTAATACCACAGATAGAAATAACCTGTTTTGTATAATTTATACTACTGCCATATAGAGAACAGTAGCAATGGAGTAAAATATAAAGGCTAATTAAAAGTTTCTGCTAAAAAAAAAAAAAACTTACCATCATGGGTAGGAAAAAAAAAAAAATCACAAGCCTATTAGTCTTGAACACTACGTATGCAATAGAAATATATCCACTGTCTCAACTGAAATTTTAAATTATAGCACTTTCAAGCTCAAATTCTGCTTTAGGATCAGTGTCCTCAGAACAGTTAATTAGAAAACAGGATGAATCAGAAGTACAGCTTCAGAAGCTGTGACAGACTTTTGTCTCTGGGCTTTCATTTAACTCTGGCATTAAACTTTGGGGAACTCAATCCACTGTCTGTCGTGCAAGAGCTTCTGCTCAGAAGATTGGGAGCAGGGAAATTATTTCCCCAAATTTCAATAACATTAACCTCTGAAAAAACATCCCTTGGAGTTCCTTTCCTCTCCCCCCAAACAGTATCTGCTACTAAAATTTATTAGGTTATTAAAACAGAACTGGAAGTGTTTTGATCATTTTGACACTCTTCTCTGTGCTTCCATTAGCGCAGCCATTGGCATTCTCACCAAGATTTTAGTAACTGAGTTCCTGCTGCAGATCAGTGCCACATGCCAGTACACCACAAGCAGCAATCCACTTCTACGTCTTCAACTGATTCCTCAGTCACAGTGACAGCACTGCAAAACATCCAGGATGGTGTTTCTCATTTTGCAATACTGGTTCTACAAGAAACTCATCTGTTGCTCAAGATAACCAGCCAAAGCAATACATACTTGTTCCTAACTTTAGGATTAGGTATAGAAATAAAGCATGATTAATGCCTGCACTCTAAACACTACAAAGAAAGCATTATTTCACTTTAGTCAGATAGGTTGCATCAGCATAGCACCATCATGTATGTGTAGAAGCAATACTAGTGATGTCCCAGAGATGATTTTACTTAGTTTTCAAAGCATTACAAAATTTGTTATGATTAATAACAATTATTACATAGAAACGTCATAAGAATTGCTTTAAAAGAATGCATAAGGAAAAAAAAAAAGTAGTTTTACATAATAGCAGGCATGCTACAAACATATCCAACCACTCCACCTCTCTTCCTGGTGGAAGAATCACAGTCAGAAGTATGACAAAACACTTTAAAAACCAAAAACACTTCCCATAGGAATACTGAGGAGTTGGAGATATGAAGTTTCCTTCCCTATCATTATCAAAATGCTATCCTTGGGCTCTTTAAACCCTGTCACATATATTATATAGCCCATTCCCCAAACATTATCAGCTGCCAGCAGCTTTCACATCACTTAATATCTAACAGATCTCCCATGAAAATGACTTCCAGGAGCTGGTCTACTCAGCTAGAACCTTTAGACTGTTTCAGATACCCTGGCAGTTCTGAATTACATTACTTCACTGATCTTAAGGGAGACACATTGTAAAATAGAATAATTAGAACATCTGAAGCATATATTATAATCACAGTATAACAACAGCATTACAGCATGTGTTATTTCCACAGGCAGTTGGAACTCCAGAACTAGTCCAGTACAAACATTCTCAAGCAATATCTTACCACAAACACAAAATGAAAAGCTTGTATACTACACCTAGAGAAGAAAAATAGGACAAAAAGCCCAGCCCTTACAGTTCCTCAAAACTGAAGCCTCAGTATAAATAGACTGGGCAATTCCCAGATAAACAAATCATCAAAAGACTTGGAACAAAAAAAATATAGCAGTTTCTTTGAAACAGGAGTGTTACAGTACAAGCAGCTTTGAACATATTACAGGGCACATCACTTATATCCAGCTGCTTCTTAAGCTTGCAGCTGATATACAATGTTCTCAGAGCTGAAGCACCAGAGGCCTGACGCAAACAAGGAGCTTAAACATTGGTGCTCTTCAAGTCCAAGTATCAAGTTTAATGTGGTTGTTGAATCTGGGATGTGTTTCTCATTCCAAGGTTATCTTCAAGTGCTGAAAAAGGCAGGGAAAGAAAGAGCTACAGGCACTGGCAGAAAGAAAAACACACGTAAGACTAACAATACAGCACAATAAGAATCAGCTCCACAGTTGACACCCCCACTGACTAAGCCCAGCTTAGAACGAGCCAGGCATTTCAGTCTTCTCCCTTCCAACTGAATTTGAGAGATTAAGAATTAAGTTTCACTTTCCTCAATAAGTGGCATGAGTACACTTGAAAAGGTCATCCCATTTTGAGCACTTGGTACAAGGCAGACAATTCACCAGCAATTCAACACAGTCAAGGACAACACTAAGGAAAAAAATCTTTCAAGCTAGATGATAAGAGTCAACAAAAATAAAAATCCACCACGAACCCACTACCAAAACATCTCTTTACATAGCTAGTTCAAAACTGAAAGATCTTATGCCTTCATTTACCCCCCATCTCTAACACATTACCCTAAACTTAAGCACAAGAGGTGATGAAAACACAGTCACTGTTAAGTTCAGTGATCTGATGGCATTTTTCTCTGGAGAAAAAACAAAAAACAACTAAACACTGTTGCAATGGAACAGAAACGCATTGGGTACCTTTTTCCCTTTTGCCTTAAGGAAGAAGGATATTTTAAAACTCAATTCACAGCATTCAAAGATTCATTGTAACGTCATAAGATATGCTAAAGATGTGCTGCTTCTGATGCCTTTAACTCCAGTAGCAGCAGAAGTTATATTTGTTTACAATTAATATTTAAAATTTAAAGGAATAAAAGAAATATAAAATTCATAAGTTATAATTATTGATAAAAATTAATTCATATTTTAACAGCTATTAACTGGAGCATAGAAAGTTCCACACCAACATGCCTGCTTTGCAGGGGGCTGGGCTTGATCACTGGAGGTCCCCTCCAGTTCCATGATTTTCTATTAGGGAAACAAGAAATGGCATGTTATCCCTGCTCTGAGGAATTTTACATGGACTGATGTACAGGTGCACCACACTTTAACCAAAGAGTACTTTCAAAAGAATTGAAGAAAGATACGAGAGACAGATTTGTGAGATGCTGGACCAGCTCTGCTCTGCTAAGGAGCAATCAATGAACCTTCTCTGATGAGCACACCTTACTCACATTTACAGTTCACACAACTTCATAAACTGCAATTCCTCACCTGAAACACTGCAGCAAAGCAAACCAAGACCAGCTTCTCAAATTAAGAATCACATATCAAGAACATTTGAATTACCAGCACAGCTTCTATAGGAGGTGTCATCATTCCAGCAGTGTCTCGAGGTCTTCTGGAAGAAGATGACGTTTCCTACTGTGCGCAACCTTCCTACTGCATGAGGGAAAAAGAGGGGGAAAAAAATCCCAGTTAATTCCAATGAAGAGATCTTCTTTTCAAACAACTGGAGCACTGTATGCTACCTCACTAGATGAACAAACAGTCTGAGCTCAGGACTGTTTCGAGTCAATATATCCTGTCACTTTTGGATGGGCAGCCACATCTTAACCCTTTCTGTCCTTTCCATTTTCTATCCTCACCTGCATTCACTAGAGATCTCTCCAAAGTCTGGCCAGAGAGTATGCCATATTTCCTTTGAACACCCACCATGAATAGGTAGGTATTTGTGATTCAATTACATGCGATTACCACATTACCCATATGACACCAAAGTTTCTAAAGGGAATAACTTTGGGAGAGGGAAGATATCTGTTACTCCACTTAACCTTAGGAAAGTTACATTCCTCTACTTGAGAGCAAATCAGAATATATTACTTCAGTGGCTCAGTAAGCAGAAAGTTAGAGTATTTTACAGTATCTCTAAAAACCTCAAGGCACCATAGTTATCACTGCTCTGGGTATCTTTGAAGTTTGCATGAAAAATGAGAAATACATTTTTATAACTTCAAAGCCATGTGAGCATACCTTAACTATAATGTACAAGTTACCTCACATAGAAATGATGAGTTATTGTAGGGCAAGCACTTCACAATGAGGTATGATAGAAGTAACCTGCCTTTACCTTTCCCTCTGTACTGCAGAGAAGGAATACATCTACAAAAGGAAAGCTATGCATTTTTTGGCACAGAAGGTCAGTAATACCTTTCAACGCTTTCTTTTTTTTTTTTGAGATAGTATTTTCATGATGCAATGATAGTGAAGTTAATAACTGTTATATTATATCTGGATTTTGCTTGGTTTTTCTACCTTCTTTATTACACTGACACTTCCACACATTTTCTCCAAGCCCTGTAGAAGAGTCACACTGAAATCTTAAGGACACCAACGAGAAAATCAAGGAGAAAAATAAACACCAGAAAGCAGACTTCTGCTGTACAAGTTACTCCAATGACTCACATTAACAAGACAACTTACCATCCAATGAAAACGGTAACACTGAGGCTTATATAAAACTTCTCTATATTCACAAATAATGTTCAACGCTACTGACCTTGTATTTCATTCAAGTACATTTAACCATGATGTTAATTAGTTCAGCTTATTTCCTGTAAAAAGCCACTTTGTTTGAAGTCAGGGGCCAAGATTTACCCTCCTCGTTACCTTTGATGGAGGACTTCTCCGTAGGACCAATGGTAAGAAGAGAGTCCTTCCCCCTTGGGGGCTCTTCACTTATCAGTTGTAATTTACATTATCAATTCTACGAAGGTTATCATTGCCTTCAAAGATGCAGAAAGCCTATATCCAAGTAATTGCATATGAATACCACCACAAGCATAAGAAACTGTGCTCTTTCCTGTAAATATGGGCTCAAACGATTGTGCTGAGACATCCTGTAAGAATCTAAAGAGCCCAGAGAGAAGTTTTGCCCCCCTTGTAGGGCAGACAGCTCACCATGCAAAAGGAGCATGCAGGGGTCATTAACAAAATATCTCAGAATTGCACGTTTCTACAAACTTGCTTAGCACACAGTAAGGCTTCAATAAGGCTTCACAAATAAAAGATACGAAGCGGAACAAACTAAGTGGGCAAAATGTTACTGACTTCACTCTGTTGGTTGAAATTCCTATCCTAGAAGTGCTACTTTCTCATGTACAGAGATATTTCATCAGAAGTTTCTCAGACCTTGATCTCTTCTAACTTCTGCTCAACTGTGTTAAGAGTTCAGGACAATTTAGGAGACAATAGGTGGTTTTGTTAATGATTTGTAGTTTATTGTTAATTAACTTCCATAAATGCATAACATGCCCTCTGCACAAATCACTTACATTAACAAACAAGAACTATTTTTAAAGGCAGAGTGTGTAAGCCAACAATTACCTACAGGTATTGAAACCACATCTAGCATTACTTTCAGCCAGGAGCACAAATAGGACAAATCTTAATTACAAGGAAGCCACAGAACAAAACAGCAGGACATTCAGAAAAGCACATGCAGAGAAGAGCTCATATATTTGCTTTTTCAGTCCCACACAACAAGGTTATTGAAATCCTTTGTATAAGAAAAGAAGGACATCAGCCTGCTGACAGCAACTTCTCCAGGTAATTTCTCTTCACAGCAGGCAGTATTTCAGCCTATCTTTTACATTAAGGAGAGAAAAACATACATTTAAATGCATTAGAAAGAGACAGACAATGTCCTCAGGTACTTCCACAGTGTACACAGCAGCTGAATGTTTTTCCCTTGTAGGGGACTAAATAAATAAAACACTTCATCCAAGTTGATGGAAATTTAAACTCTGACTCTAAAAAACAGAACAATACTTTGTAGTGAAAACAGGATCCTCTCAAATGCTAACTGCTCTAGTTACTCTCCAAAGGAGAGTGGGTTTAACAGAGCGTTTACCCAGAGGGTATTTTTAATGAGTTGCTCAGAAATTCCCGAGCAAGAAGTGTTTAATACAATAGCAATTTACCTTGGTAAGCTACATCTGTTTAGCACAGACTAAAATTGAATTCACCTCATTATTCACTCAGCTTTAACATTTTCTTCTGGCTAAAAACAAAGCGGACTAAACTTACCAAAACTTAAAATGTGTAACACAATAGAAAGCACAGCAACAACAACAGAGCAGCAAAGTCCCAAGATACAGCAAGCAAAGATTTGCTCAAACAGAACAGCCACAAAAAACAAAAAACAAAAAAAACAAAACAAAACAGAACACTGCTTACCTTCAGAAGAGCACAGATTCTACAGGGACCTCCATCAAGAAATGCCCTTCCTTCCACTGCCATCCCTTAAATGAGGGCTGGGAAAGGGTGGATCCTGACTCCACCACTCCCAGTCATTCAGCTGCATTGCGTGCACCTGAGCTCCCACGGGTCGGCCCTGCCTTCCCACCAGGTGCTCAATCACTGTTTTAAGCCCTGACTGAGCCTTTCCTCTACACTATTAAATTGCTATTTTAAACAAAAATATGGTATAACGAATATTTAATGCTTGACTTCCTGTTGTATCCAGTTTAACCTTTCTTAATGTATAAGTCCTTATGTTCTTAAACTACAGTATTGCAAATGGAAAATAAGTGCAGTTTTAGTAGCCAGGAGGCTGACCTGAAATTACTTTTATATACTGTTTTATCCAATAACATAACGCTTGCAATATTGTACCTTTGCACTCATATGGGTTTTGCACTCTTTTCCTCCACACCCTTGACACATTTGATCAACCTCAAATCACATCTTATTGCTTTGTATCTTTTTCCTATGACATTATAAACCTCAAAGCTGGTAGGGTTTTTTGTTGTTTTTGTGAATACCCTAACAAGAAAGAGGAGAAGAATTTAGCCTTGCTGATGGCTGATGAGCTTCATAGAAAACTGGAAGGGACATTACAAAGAATTTTCTTGTTTTCCCCAGAATCTATCAAAACTGCGGGTGTAACAGAACCAGGGGGAAAAAAAAAATCAAATAAAGAAAGAACAGTTGTACTGAAAGTGACCGATAGGTTGAGGAGGATCAGATTTGGGTGGGAGACTTTAGTAAGGGTTAAACTCAGGAAATGAAATCACTGAATAGAAAGAGACAAAGATAAAAACTGAAGAAAGGTGCTTCAGTGCATAAGTGCACATACGTGAATTCAGTACGCTGAAATATAAAAGGGAGAAATGTGGGATGCTGGAGGCGTTGCTAAAGGAAAATACTGTTGGTTCCAGAAAGCGAGGCTTGCTTTTTTGAGTATCAAATGTGCAACAGAGTAGACTTCTTTAGGAAAAAATAAGAGCCAAAGAGAGCAGAATTAAAGGGAGGACTGAGCACAAGCAGAGAAAATGATAGAGTAAAAGAGAATGTACAAGAAACTTCAGTACCTGCAGCTACCGAGAGTGACAAGGGAGTCCTGAGAGACAGGAAGCTCGTACCAGCCTTTGTAGGTGTATTATTGGTACTCACAGTCAAAGCTTCAGCATCAAGAATAGATAAAGTTGATGTACAGAGGACTGCTATGGCCATAGTAATTGCTATAAAAAGGATTGCCAGCAAGTAAAGCTAACAGCACTTCCTGAACTGAAGAATGAACAACATATTTTAGTGTTCAAGAAATCTCTTCAGGCAGAACTCTGCCCTGAAGAGAGCAGTACTGTATCGTCCTTACAGAGAGCACTGGAATAATTTCTCTACCACTGCTCTCTAAAAGAGGCTCCGCTCCTCTTCTGTATCCTGAGGATTTTTATCATCTTCCTATTGCTTACATGTATTTAAAAAAAAAAAAAAAAAAAAAAAAAAATCATCCAATGACCATAACTAGATAGATCCCTTTCTCAGTGGAAAAGATTGAATATGAGATACTGAAAGATCAAAGATTTTGCTTTGCTGTTTTTTAACCGAAAACACACAATGAGAGGCAAAGAAGAAAAACAAGGAAGGTGACAGGCAAAACAGAAACCTTGAATGCCAAAAGCAGAGATGACTCTTTTCCATTTGCCCACCCATTATCAGGTTTCAAGTTACTAGAAACATCTCAAAAAGGTGTCACATCATAGCCCCAAGAGAAGATGGGGCTGTCCTCAGTGGAGGTGGCTGCATGACTCGGACAAGCAGACCATGAATTCCCATCATCAGTTGGAGTAACAGAAGGCTAATCCCATTCCTTTGAGATTTCACACTCAATGAGATGCACATACTGG